GGAGGGCTCAGCTGCGTGGCTGCCTCAGACAGTCTACATCAGTGGTTCTCAACCTGTGGGTCACGACCCCTTTGGCGGTCGAACGACCCTTTCACAGGGGTCGCCTGCATATCAGATATTTACATGACGATTCATCACAGTAGCAACATGACAGTGATGAAGTAGCAACGAAAATAATTTTATGGTTCCACCACATGAGGAACTGTATTTAAAGGGCCAGAAGGTTGAGAACCACTGGACAGCAAGCGTGTCAAACTCCGTGGGCCGCGTGCCTTGTTTATGTGGCCCGTGTTAGGCTTTGAGTTTGACATGCTTGGTCTACGGGGACAATGCCGTGGATGGATGTGAGCTGTCGCTGTTCAACCAGCACTCACAATTAACCAGGCCCTTTACACGTTCACATTTTTGTAATACAGGAAAAAATTACAGCATAAAACTCATGATAGAGAAAGGAGAGCTGGCAACGTTCGGCCCACTGCTTGCAGACTGGGTGACCCTGAGCAAGTTTCCTTACATCTGCGGCTGGGCTTCCTCGTCTGTGATACTGGGAAGGCGACTCCTAAGCACACACTTTGTGTGGTGGAGCCTCTCTCGCAAGTTCTCACCAGAAAGCAATCCTTGTGTCTGTGCGGTGACGGTGCCACCTGAACTCACCGTGGGGGTCCTTCCACAGTACCTACGTATACATCAAGTCATGTATGTTGTATGCCTACAACTGATACAATGTTCTATGTCAATTACATCTCAATCAAAAAAAAGAAGGCATGTACCGGGTGCCCCCTCTTTGTCCAGGGGCTCATCTCGGTACCGGGCACACAGGAAGCACCCCATAAACGTGAGCTGAGTGGGCGATACAAGAAAGAGGAACCAGTCCCTTATCACAGAGGTTACAGTCTAACCAGGGAGACAGGCCCGGGCGGTAACTCCGAGGCCTGGTGATAAATTTTTTAAAGGGAACACACAGTGCTGAGAAAGCATGTAAAGAGATCGTGAAGTCCACAGGCAATGGCTGAGGCGGGCTCGGCCGCAAGGGCAGTGCTCTCGGCTCCTCTCCCGCGGGGCCATCACTAGGTGGCTTCCCGCTGCTTGGAGGACACTCTGTCCTGTCCTCCTTTCCATCCGCGCCTGGTGTTTGTCCTTCCCGGTCCCTGCCACTCCTGACGGCCTCCTGCCTGTGGACTGGTGCCGGCTGTCTTCCCGAGCAGGGGCTGTCTGCCTCGCTCAGGTGTACCCCCAGCAGCCGGCGTGGCGTCTGCCTCATAGCAGGCGCTCGGGGAAACGTGGGTGATGCCAGGCTGACCGCACCCGGCAGGTTCTCACGGGGACCCAGACACGGACAGTTCCGGCCGAGCACTTCACCCATGTTTCCAAAACATGGGCTGGCGCAGTGCCAGAGGGCGCGGGAAGGAGAGGCCCGCCAGGTTGAGACGACCTTTGACCCTTACGCCAGGGTCTGCTCAGACGCGGCTGCAGGTCCCTGGCTGCGCACACTCACCCTGCAAACAGGGGCAGAGCCAGGGCCTCGGCCAGGGGCCGGTCCTGACTAATCCACGCACGTCCACTCCGCGCCCCTTCAGCCACCTGGCGAATGCCTGACGCCTGTCAGTAACGACGCCCGTCCCAGGCCACCCTCTCTCCCGCAATGCTTCAGGTCACCGCTTTTCCTCCCCCCCCCCCCCCCGCCCCTGCCCCGTCTCCCCCACCCCGCCCCTCACATTTGAACGTTCATGTTTAAAACTGAAAGACTGGCTGCCTCTGGAGGGGGGGGGTGGGGCGGGGGGGAGGTGCCCATTGCCCCAGAGAGCAGTGGTTCTATTTCTAGGCCCGTGGCAGGCTCCCCCATCACGTGCCGGCCCTGGCTGTCTGCTGGAGACAGGCGAGCGCAGAGAAACAAAGAAATAACGTGTGTGCCTTCGCCTCTCTCGTCTGATGTCATTCTCTTCCAATTCTTATTTTTAACAGTTCATTAGAGAAACCTACTTTGGTCTCAGAAAAGTCAGTTAAGAAAAATATGGCTTTATTATTTTTTTTAAAAAAAATGACCACAGAGGTAAAACCCAGCTCCTCTCACTGGGTCCTCAGCCACAGGGACATGGAGAGCCCATGGCTGAGAGAGGGCAGCGTGAGGACTGTGTCAAGGTCACACTGCAAGGACGGAGATGAGGTGAGATTTGAACTCAGAGCTGTCTGGTTCCAAGCCTGGGGTCTCTCCTGTGTCTTTCCTTCCCCAATTCGAGCCCCCAGATCCTCCCCTTTCCTCTACCTGTGAAGGTGCCTGGCTGGGTCTTCCAGGCCCCTGGTCAGCTGGCTGAGCTCACTTTGTCCCCCTGCCGGAGCCCGGGGTCTTAGCCCTCCTCTTTCCTCTTCAATGCAGTCACCCCCACCTCCCACCCCAAATCCCCAGCCAACAGCCCCTCCTTGGGGTCACTCTGACCATGTGCCAAACACAGAGCCCCAGGGGCGTCTGGGCACCTAGCATTGATCCCTAAGGGAGCAGGTGAGCAATTCATCGATGATGAAACTTTGATTACTGTGCAGATGTTACACCTCACAACACCAGGAGGAAACACCATCTTTATCCATGTTTTCACAATGAAAACAACTGAGGCCAAGGTCATCCACAATGTGGTTAGCAGGGAGCAGAGCAGGAGTCAGGCCAAGCCCCCTATAGCTCCCATGGATAAAGACACGCACACGCACACGCACACGGCCTGGGCTCCGACGCCAGCTGCCAGCTGCGTGACCTTGGGCCAGTCACTTCCCCTCTCTGGCTTGTTCACCCTTCCTTTGGGGCGTGGAGACTTAAACACCCTCCCTGCTTCACAGGGCCGCCCCGAGGGCTGTTTACTAACACTGACATGAGAAGTTCTCAGACCGTGCCTGGCAGTGGCTTCACATAGGTTAGCTGCTCTTTTTCTTTAAGAAGTTTTGTTGCCCTGGCCGGTTTGGCTCAGTGGATAGAGCGTCATCAGCCTGCGGACCAAAGGGTTTGATTCTGGTCAAGGGCACGTGCCTGGGTCACTGGCTCGATCCCCACTAGGGGGCGTGCAGGAGGCAGCCGATCCATGATTCTCTCTCATCGATGGTGTTTCTATCTCCTTCCCCCTCCCTTCGTCTCTGAAGTCAATAAAAATATATTTTTTTTTAAAAAAAAGAAGTTTTGTTATGGGTAGCCCGCATCATGGGGGCCAGGTGAGACCTTCACTAAGGTCAGAATTCTAGAAGGTCAAGCTGACTCCGCGGCCCACGTCCGCTAACCTTTTCCAGTAGCACCTGCCTGTCCTGTTGCTCTTCTCTACGAAGGAAGAAGGAAGGGACACGCAACGGAAGGCTCGTCAATGTGATGGAAAGGGTTCTCTCCCGCTCGCCCTCTTCTCATTATAAAGGGGGCGGGGGTGGAGGGGGCGCCTCGTGGACGACACGCTGACGTAGGCGTTCAGCGGAGCCGAAGCTGGCCTGCGGCCTCGCCTGAACAAGCAGAATGACCCTGACCACGTTACTTAACCTCACAAACATCTGTTTATTGCGACCCATAGGGAGCGTTCCACCAGGATGGAGACCCAGACCCTCCGCAGTCCGGCCGCCCTGCAGGAGCGCCCTCATACCTGCCCTGCCATCTCGGCGCCTGGGAGCGAGTGTTCCGCTGGCTCCTGTCTCCAGAAGCAGAGTGATCGGGGCTTAAGTAATGACTCTGCTTCGCTGGGGAGAGTTTGCCCCAGAGTTCCCCACACCCACATTCCCACCGAGGGTACCAAAGGCCATCGTTAGCAGAGAGGACCAGACCTCTGCCCTCCTAGCTTCCGCACAGAGCACCCCGCCATGAGTTGAACAGATTGCTCCCCAAATTAAAAACACAAGATGCTACTCACCACCTCTGGTCTCACGCTAAGACTCAGAGAGCCAGACTCCCCGTGGGAGGAGCGCAGTTCAAGCCACACGTGGCACCGTGACGTTCCACCGGCTGGATTCTTAAGAACTTCCCGGAGCTCCCTGGCCTTCTCGGCAATGTTTTCCTCCAGCCTGTTCTTCCAGTCCGTCTATCAGACTCCTGCTGCCTTTTTAGGCTCCTCGCTCCTCCCTAAGTTAATTTCCTTAGCAAGTGTTTCCCCATCCAAACCCAGGCTTTCTCAACCTTGGCACCTGCTACACGTTCGGCGGGTGTATCTGATACAGGGGCTGGCCTGTGCTTTAGTTCAGAGGGTGTTTAGAGCATCCCTGGCCACTACCCGCTAGATGCCAGCGGCAAGGCCTCCTGAGTTGGTCTATTGTGCCCTGACCAGACCACACATGCCTCCATAGTTGCCAACTGTCGCCTGGGATGCCGAATCGCCCTAGGCAGGAGCCACGGTATTCATCCCACTGAGTCCTGTCCCTGGTTATGGAATAACTGCAGGAGATGGTTTTTCCATCTCTGCGCTTCTATGTCAGTGAGACCAAGTGCCATGTAGCAATCTGCCCTGGACCGGGAACCCCGTGCTTCTAGCCCCTCCCTCTCCAGGCGTGGCTGTCCATAGAAGAATGTGAGTTGGATGTTTATGTATGGCCACGTTCAACAAGAGGCCAGTTTTGCTTGTGGCCCTGTATGAGTCAGGGTTCTCCAGAAAACCAGAACGAACAGGATGCGTGTGTGTATAAAAAGAAATTTATTTTAAGGAATTGGCTCATGCAATACATGGAGATTACAAGTCCAAAATCTGCAGGGCGGGCCAGCAGGCCTAAGACTCAGGGCAGAGTGGCTCTGAGTCCAAAGGCTGCTGAGAAATCCCTTCCAGATCAGGGAAAGTTAGTCAGTCGTTTCTCTATCTGGGCCATCAACTGATCGGATGAGGCCCACCCACACTAGGGAGGGTCATCTGCATTCCTCAAAGTCCTCAGATTTAAATGTTGATCTCATCTCCAAAACACCGTCACCAAAACATCCAGAATAACATTGGACCAAATATCTAGGCCCCGTGGCCCAGCCCAGCTGACACATACAACTAATCATCACAGGCAGTGACGACGAGGTACTTAATGACAAAGCGGGAGGTGAGGCCAGGTTTCCGAGATTACTGTCTGATGTGTCAATGCTGCAGGCGCCACACCGGGGCCACCAGCGGCTCTTCAGCCTGGTCAGAGCAGTCACGTGGGGAGCCTTGAAAAGATCCGGGTGCCAGAGCCACCCTTGGAGAGGCGGGTGCATTTGGTGTGAGGCAGAGCGCAGGCAGCGATGCATCGTGGGAGATCCTCGGGTGGTCCTAGCCTGCGGCCAGGGTTGAGAGCTGCTGGGCTGAATGAATGAATGCATGACCCATCCTGCCCCAGGACAGACCAGCAGAGATGGGCACGGGCTTTGCAGGATGGACTGGGCTTGAGGCCCACTTCCCTTCAGGTGAGGATGGGGTGTTGGGATGGCCATTGTGCCTCCCTCAGCCTGGGGGTGGGGGTGGTGAGAAGAAAATGCACCCAGCACAATCCCCGGAGGTGAGCGGACATGTGTCACATGCCAATAGGTGCCTGTTCCCATCTCCCATCTGGTATGAACAGCCTGGTGCCCCTGCCTGTCGTTTTAAGTCCCTGTTGAACTCTAGTGATACTCACGCTCTCTCTAACATGGATTGAGCTGGGAGAGGGCGCTGCTACAGGCAGGCGTTGTTTCATCTTCACAGTGACCCGGCGAGGAAGACTCGATGGCAGACCCAGGCTCTGGAAGGACATGGAGGCTCAGAGAGGTAAGGGGACCTGCCCGAGGCAGGTGCCGACAGTCCAGGATTTACCTGACGCTCAAGGTTAAAGCTTTGTGAGTATCTTGCATCCAGAAGACGGAAGTCAGAGTGATGGTCCCTGGGAAGGAGGAAGCTCCAGGTGCCGCATGGTTTCCAGATGCATGGTTTCCAGATGTCACACTGCGAACCGAGGAAGCCTAAGAAATAACAATACCTCTTTCAGAACGAGTGTGGCAGTTTACTGAGACTTGGGGCGTATCCAAAACCAGGCACCTTCCCAGAAAAGAGCAGCGTCAGTCGGGATCCTGCTTTAAAAGAAAGAGATCCTTCACCACAGGAAGACAGCCATGAAACCCCCATTCAGCAGGAAAGGCGAGGCCCGCCAGCTTCCCCAGGGGATGGAAGGAGGCGTGGCCGTGGAGCGGGCCTGTGCACAGGACAGACAGCGCCAAAACGTCGACTCTGCAAATTAGTTACAGGTAAAACAATTCCTTTCTTTTTTCAAATCAAAAGTAGGCATTGAAGTCAGCTCTCAACAGTTTCAAAGATTTCAGAGTGTAACACATCCAGTGATTCGGGGTTCCCGGCGACTGCCAGTTCAGGCGTCCGTCCGCCTAGAACTGCGTCCCCGCAGGGCTCACTCTGGGCTCCGCCCTGAGGGCATGAGGTTCCTTCTGCTCGCTGTCCCCGCACCTTCATTTCCAGACTCACTCACATGGCCTCACGCTTTAAAAAATGTTAAATTGTGAAACATATTGTAGGTTTTAAAATAGCAATAAAATATGTAAATATATAATATAAATATATACTTGTGTGATATATTATATAACTATTCCATTTACACAAATATATATTTATATATTTACTAGAGGCCCACCTCGCGAAATTGCGCAAGACCCAGACCTGGCGTACTGTGGGACCTAGTGTCAAGACCCCGCCCACCTTGAAGACAGTTATGGATGGAGATAAGAACAGTTTCCTGCCCGAACCTTTCCTTCTCAGGAGCACTTAAATTGACCTTCGTTGGAAGATGACAGGTGAACAGAGCAACATTTACTTGTTCCCATGAAGAAATCATATGATGCTCAGCAGGTGGCTTTGGCGTTTGGTCGTTATGGTGTGACAGCATCATGGCCACGGGGTTTTTATAATAGAGATTATATATTATAAGGATATATTGCACAATATTATATACTTACTAGAGGCCCGGTGCATGAAATTTGTGCAGGGGGTGGGGTGGGGGGCCCTCAGCCCAGCCTGCACCCTCTCCAATCTGATCTCCAGGATCAGGCCTAAACTGGCAGTTGGACATCCCTCTCACAATCCAGGACCACTGGCTCCTAACTGCTCACCTGCCTGCCTGCATGATTGCCCCTAACTGCCCCCCTGCTGACCTGGTTGCTCCCAACTGCCCCCGCCCCCGCCAGCCTGGCTGCCCCACACAACCTGCTGCTTGGTCATTTGGTCGGCCCTCACTAACCCCCCTGACAGACTGGTTGCCCCACACAGCCTGTTTGGTCATCCATTCGGTTGTGATGGTTACTTTGGCTTTTATATATATAGATATAAATATATCATATTTTACAAAAATATATTTACAGATGTATTATACATAATCTATATATAACCTGATACATAATCTTTATATCATATATATATACAATTTAACAAATGATTGTATAAACACCGGTGTAACTACCTTGGCAGACAAACTCTTTTTTTTTTTAAATCCTCACCCAAGGATATATATTTTTAAAATTGATTTTTAAATTGATTTTTAGAGAGGAAAGAAGCTACCTGGTCAGGGCATGATAGACAAACTCAGGAGAGAGAGAGAGAGAGAGAGAGAGAGAGAGAGAGAGAGAGAGAGAGAAGCATCAAGGTGGGAGAGGCACATTGATTGATTGCCTCCTGTAGTTGCCTAAACCCAAAATGAGAAGACTAAGAAAAACCAGTGAAACATACTTAAACCAAAGTGAGGAAGTGTCAGCTTGCTGAGATGTAGATCAAGGGCTCCCACCGCATACCAAAGACTAAGAAATTCATACAAGAAGAAGTGAAAATAATAAATACACTGCCCTAGCCTGTTTGGCTCAGTGGATAGGGCGTTGGCCTAGGTCAGTGATGGCGAACCTATGACACGCGTGTCAGAGGTGACACGCGAACTCATTTTTTTGGTTGATTTTTCTTTGTTAAATGGCATTTAAATATATAAAATAAATATCAAAAATATAAGTCTTTGTTTTACTATGGTTGCAAATATCAAAAAATTTCTATATGTGACACGGCACCAGAGTTAAGTTAGGGTTTTTCAAAATGCTGACACGCCGAGCTCAAAAGGTTTGCCATCACTGGCGTATGGACTGAAGGGTCCCAGATTTGATTCTAGTCAAGGGCACATGGCTGGGTTGCGGGCTAGGTCCCTGGTAGGGGGCATGCAGGAGGCAGCTGATCAATGCATCATTGATGTTTTGATCTCTCTTTCTCCCTCTGCTTTCCTCTCTGAAAGCAAAAAAATATATATACTTTAAACAAAAGAATAAATACACTCAAATGATCCCCTCACTCACGCAGATTGAATTGGGGTGTCCTGCTGGCAGAATTGGTTTTCGAGTCATGACACCCAGCCTTGGCAAGGTGTAGTCCTTTAAGAGGAATGCAGATTAACAGGATGCTTTCGGACAGTTTGGCAAAACTTCCGGCATCTTAAAAATGTACATTTATTCTAATTACCCCTTTTATAACAGTTTTTCTCAAATAATAATCCTAAGTGCAGATGGACACTGAGTAAATATTAGGAGGAAGCTTAAATAAACTAATCCGCTTGTTGGGTAAAGGCTGATCGTTAAGGGGATGTTTGCTGCAGCTTTGAATGCCAACGATGAGTTCTGTGGCTGTAAATTAAACAAAAACGAGCCGTCAGCAGCTCTTTAGTGCCCTGGGCACACTGGGGTCACGACCCCACCTATAGGCTGTGGATGTTTGGGGAGCTGCCGAGTCCTTCCCAGCCTCGGTTCTGCTTACTGATCTGTTTTCAGGATCCAATGCGGTCACACAAGCACAGCAGCCCTGTGCATTCCCGACACTCGACGAATGTCACCTGCCTCTTCCTTTTGTTAATTACGCTGAGTGTGGTGGGGGTCAGGGAGCACATGGAGAAGTGGGGCACAGAGTAAAAAACCACCTACAGACTGACTGTAAGTTTGGAACACGCTCGGGTGGCAGGGTAGCGTTGGGGGAGGTGGAGGGATTGAGCAAAAAAGAAAAAAGAGAGAGAACTCATGGACCTGGACAACAGCGGGGTGATTGTGGGGGGCAGGGGGTGGATGGAGGTGGAAGGGGGCCTCGAGGGGAGGAATGGTGATGGAAAAAAATAAAACAGAATGTATGAAAAATAAAGAACAGAAATATGTCTTTCTCCACGAAGACTTAAAAGGATGCAAACAGTTGGTTTTCCTGTTCAGTTTTTAAAGACAAGCAAGGAAGAGGTGCCTGTGCTTCCATGAGAGCGCGGCTTCTGTCTTAGGTGTGACAGCTTAATGGTGAGAAATCTCACACCAATCTTGTTCCCTAGTGACGGACGTATGAAAGCCTTGTGGTACTTCTACCCAGGTGGGCGGTGGGGTCCGGTGTGACTGCAGAGGTGAGATTGGGAGATGACAAAAGCACCGCTCCCAGTGTACACAGCCTGGCACGTGGCCGTCAGTGCGCACCATCACCATCAGGGGAGCACCGTGCAGACTTCAGGCCCCAGCTCAGAGACTCTGACATGAAGCTGGGAAGTGTGTGTGTGTGTGTGTGTGTGTGTGTGTGTGTGTGTGTGTGAAACGTAGGGGAATTAATAAATATAGCCCTCGCTGGTTTGGCTCAGTGGATAGAGCATCACCTTCTGACTGAAGGGTTGCGGGTTGGATTCCAGTCAAGGGCATGTACCTTGGTTGCAGGCTCCTGCCCCGGGCCCTGGTCTGGGTATGTGCAGGAGGCAACCAATCAATGTATTTCTCTCACATCGATATTTCTCTCTGTCTTTCCCTCTCTCTTCCACTCTCTCTCTCTCTAAAAGAAAGAAAGAATAAAAAAATAAAAAGTGATGTGCCCCAGGTGTTATAACCAGGCGGCTCTCCTTTCAAAAACAAAACAAAACAAAACAAAACAAAACAAAACAAAAAACTTAAGCAAAAGAAAGTTAATAAATATAGAACTCAATGCATATGTATATATCCGTGCATATATGGTATGCCTACCATATGGTATATTAATGTGTAGGTATATATATATATATAGGTATATATATATATGAAAAAATGCTTATATACAGATATATATCTGTATATAAGCATTTTTTCACGTGTGTACATACCTGTGTAGCAACCATTCAGATGAACACATAGGACAGCCTGGCCCTGGCCGGGTAGCTCAGTTGGTTAGAGCATCATCCCAATACACCAGGATATAGAACAGTTCCAACACCCCAAAGGCCCCTTTTCAAGCCAGAACTCCTACCCCCAGGCCAGGTGACATTATTCTGTCACACAGGTTAGCGTAATCTGTTCGTAAACTTCAGATAAAGCGGGGTTGGGAATGTCCCGTTCTAGGGCCTTAATCCTGTGGTCTGGCCCTGCCAACGCATTAGGGGTGAGTTAATTAAATGTTTGACCAAATACAGCAGGCTGATATTTTAAAAAAATCTTTATTGATGAGAGTATTAAAGATGTCCTTTTCTCCCCCCATAGCCCCTCTCCACCCAGTGCCCGCCCCACCCAGGCTTTCATCACCCTATTGTCTGTGTCATAGGTGATGCATATACTATATAAGAGCTAATATGCAAATGGTCATCACATCCTCATGCCTTCACGCCATAATGGCTCACTCAACACTGGGGAAAGAGGAATGGGAACCAGTCAGGCATAAATGAGCTCATGAGAGAAAAATGGGGACCATCCAGGCACAAATGAGCTTGCAAGAGAGGAATGGGGACCAGCCAGGCTGTGGCCCTGGAGAGGGACAAGCTGCCTGCCCTGTGGTCCCAGGTGCCAGCGGCTGGGGCTGTGGCCCAGGAAAGGGACAAGCTGCCCACCTCGTGGTCCTGGGCATCTGTGGCTGTGGCCTCAGCAAAGCCACCTGCCCACAGTCCTCTGCAGCCGGCCCGGGCAAAGCTGGCCTGGGTCCTGGATGCCTGTGACCGACCAGAGGAGGGAATCCTGGGTCCTGGGTGTGGGGCAAGGCAGATGCAGTTAGGGGTGATCAGGCCAGCAGGGGAGCAGTTAGGGGTGATCAGGCCAGTCGGAGAGCAGTTAGGGGCGATCGGGCAGGCAGGTAGGTGAGCAGTTAGGAGCCAGAGGTCCTGGATTGCGAGAGGCAGTTGGACATCCCCCAGAGGTTCCGGATTGGAGAGGGTGCAGGCCGGGGTGAGGGATCCCTCTACGCCCACCCCTGTGCATGAATTTCATGCACCAGGCCTCTAGTCCTATCTAATAAAGAGGGAGTATGCTAATTGACCCTCATGCTGTTGCAAAGATTGCGGCGCCCACAGCCAATAAGGAGAGAATATGCTAATTGACTGCCATACCCTCAAAGATGGCGGCACCCACAGCCACAAGATGGTGGTGCCCAGTCCTCTCAGCTGCCTAGCTTCCCCGGGCCAGCCCGAGGTGCAGGCAAACCTCGGATGGCGGCTGCCCAGCCGCCCAGGGCTGCCCGAGGCACAGGTAACCAAGGCTGGCTGAGGCTTGCGCTGCTGGCAGTGGCAGCAGCAGAAGTGTGATGGGGCATTGCCTCCCAGCCCTGAGGGCTCCCAGACTGTGAGAGGGTGCAGGCCGGGGCTGAGGGATGCCCCCCCCCGCCCCCCCGCCCCGGGCCTCTAGTAGGTATATAAGCTCTTTGGTTAATCTCTCCCTGCCCTCCCTCGCCCCCCTTCCCTCTGAGATCCATCAGTCTGTTCCATGTTTCCATGCCTCTGGTTCTATTTTATTCATCTGTTTATTTTATTCATTAGATTCCTTGTTCATTTACTTTGATTTTTAGATTCAATTGTTGGTAGATATGTATTTATTGCCATTTTATTGTTCATATTCTTTATCTCTTTTTTCTTCCTCTTCTTAAAGAATGCCCTTCAACATTTCATGTAACACTGGTTTGGTGGTGATGAACTCTTTTAGCTTTTTCTTGTCTGTGA